TTCTTCCACCTGTTGCTTGTGTACTGTTGAAACAGTATTTTGTTATAATATTACGTCAAAATCAATGTTACAGCGATATTCAGAGCCAACTTAATTTTTATAAAAAATGGATAAGACTCACTTTGGAATGACCCTACTCATAAGTTATAATGAATAGACTACCTACTTAAAATTATAGATATTAAAAAATATAGAAATTTCATAATATCTAAGAATAATTATGAAATATCGTTCGCTGAGTGTCATTTAGTTTTTTTTTCAATATTTTGGTAAAATATAAAATAAATCGTAACATAGAGTTGTTATAAATCATTAGAAGTATACACTAATAAAGAATGTTTTTTATAGGTATAGAACTTTGAAATAGAATAAAACAAAGATGATTTTTTAAATTTGCATGAAATTGACTTTATTCCAAAGATAATCTTTTGGCATTATAATTTAAATATGATTTCTGTCATATGACCGCCACGGTTGGCTCTGACGTAGCCTAATCTAGAAGTACAATTGTCGATGACTTTTTCCAACATTTGTGGCCGTATATCGGCAATAACGCGGCAAATATTGTTATCCAAGTGGTCAATCGCTTTAGGCTTATCGGCGTAGACTAGAGACTTCACATATCTCCACAGAAAATAGTCTGGCGGTGTTAAATCGCACGATCTTGGAGGCCAATTCACGGGTCCGAAACGTGAAACTATGCGGAAGTCAATTATGGCACGAGCTATGTAACATGTTGCGCCGTCTTGTTCAAACCACAGCCCCTGCACATCAAGGTTGTTTAAATGAGAAATAAAAGCGTCAGTAAGGTAAATAATGCCCAAAATCCATCCCCTGTTTTAATTTCGTCTCCCACTGTAACTTCTACGGACAGTACTGCAACCTTGCGAGAGAGTAAGGAAACCCTTCAAAACAATCCAGTTGCAGTGTACTGCAATGACGTAGGATTCTTTGTTCTGTTCACTTAACTTTAAATTTTTCATAAATATTTTATGTGATAGCTTGCTACAGTTTGTAATGTACTTTAAATACTTATATTGACGCCTAAAGGTAAGTTTTAAACTGATTTATCAAGTTGGGTAAACAAAATAATCGAAACTAGGGCATACGGCACTCAGAAGGTTTTTGGAGAGCTGGGTCGTGGATAAGTTGAAATAAAATTGGTCGGATTGGGGTATCTACAAAATGAAAATAAAGGGATACTTCCATTAGTCTCCGGTACACTGTATAAATCTTCCGATGATTACTCTGTCTAAACTGCTATGAAAATAGTATTATTATCTTATTGGTCTTAAGGCTGTTTTAGCAGTCAAAACACACTGCGATTTGAAATGGGCGTATCACTTACTTTTCTTCACTGCTTCCGCCAGCCGACGACGGGTACAGCCACAGCCACCTTTACTTCCAAGCCATGAAGTAGAAATTTGGCAACAACGCGTGGTAGTCCGACTGTGGTTTGTTTTGGTTTAACATTTCATATAGGAAGGCTTGTAAAGTTTGTTGAATTTATTGTTTTTTTAACTTTATTCGAATGGTTTATTTGTAAATTGTGTTTAAATCAATTAGAAAATATTAATATAAGTGGAAATTTCATTAAATTTAGAACTTTTAGAAGATTTTTAACGACAATTTAAAAGGCAAGTATAAATATAACCTACAAAACAAACTGAAAATAATAATACTTTTGCTTCTTGTTACAAAATATGTAAACTAAAAACAACAATAATAATACTTTTGTTTTTTGTTACAGATGCTCTGGCATTGTTGTGTACCTGGTTGCAAAACCAATTATGCCAGTACTTTAAAAATGAAACAGGCAGAAAGTATGTTTTTGTAGTATGTGCCAAACATTTTCATGAAGATGATATTCAGCGGACTGAACAATGAGAAGATAGAGATGGAAATGTACACATTGAAAAGTTAATATTTCCCAAATTAAAAGGCTGAATTCATAATATATTGAAAAAGCCAGTTCGTAATATATTTCCTGAAGTACCATCATATGTAACTGTTCATCCTACTAAAGAAAGAAGGAATCCCGAAGACAGAAGAAACTTTTTGCATAAGAAGAGGGAACAAGAGATAACATAATTATCTCAATTAGACTTAGACAATAATATCCCATTGAAAAACTGGATAAGTAAAATTACAAGTGACTGTGTATATTTCTATGTATTAAACATTAATCAGTTGGAACACAAGTGTGATAATATTTGTGTAATATGTAGTGTAATAGTTAGCAGTAATTTTAGTGTAATCGTAAATGTAGGTAAGAATAGATTAAGTGGTAATGATTTGAAATGGATTTTACAATATAGTAAATTAACAAGATGGTCACAATTCGAGAACTTACTTTCTCATTTAGATCTGCTTTTTAGATAAGTGATAACAAATTTGAGTATTACATTCAAAAATCTTTTGAGAAGATAGGCTATTTTAAATCGATATACAAGTTATAAATGGTATGTTACATTCAACACATTTTTCATGTATACCTCTTTTAACTTGGTCTATATGACAACAAACATATTCATATTTAAAATTGCTACTTTTGTATATCTAAGTATGAAAATTCAACAAAAGTTATAAGTAAATAGTAAAATATTTAATTTTCAATTAGATTAATTTAGAACCATATTTATATTGTGTCTGATTTCTTAGGATGAATTTTTTAATCATAATAGTTACACTAAGTTTTTACTTAGCACAAATTTTATATCTTTTGTATTTTTAATAATCTTTTTAAATGTCTTTTTTTAATGTATTGTGTTATTTATATGCTTAGGTACTTAATATTTAAAATTTCTAGAGATTCTTGACTGCATTTGATTGTAAGATTAACTGTTTGACACTGTATTTTAAGTGCAATAAATTTTACTCTAGTGATTATTTTATTGATAATATAACCTAAATAATAATAAAACTTTATATATATATATTTACTAGGTATATATAAGGTTTTATTAATTTAATTTTCCTAAAAATATTTCTGTAATGAATTGAAGTTTTCAAAATATCAGTTTCCTAAAATTCAAATTAGTTTAATATTCTGGTAGACCTTACAGCTGATTATCGGACTACCGACGTCATAGAATGCGGTGTTGCCTTTTTTACTTCATGGCTTGGAAGTAAAGGTGGCTGTGGTACAGCTGTTTTCGCGGTGGCGCCGGCCGGCGGATGGTTTAATGACAACAAATGCATTATTCTCCATTCAAATTACTTTTGTCGAGAATACCTTTTTTGTTTGATTATCGTAGATGTTTTAAAAATAATTATCACATTTTTAATTTATATGTCTTAGCTAAATATAGTATTGAATATAAATTTGTGAAACTTGACTGCAAAAAACATCATGGTGTTTATTTATAATAAATTTAAAATAACATAAAAATATTATTATAAAAAAAATACAATTTGTTGTCACAAACAAATAAACAATTTCGCAGTTATAGCTTGAAATTGATTTCAAATCAAACTATCTGACCGTACGTTCATGAGATTTGACGTCACGCAGCCGATAAACTTTCAAAAAAATTAAAAAAGTAAAACCATCAGTTTAAAGGCAACATAATTTTGAATAACGTGTCCAAATTTCGAGATATTTTGTCGGTAAATAACAGAGAAAACACTGTCTCTAGGTTTTGGTGTACCGATAAAACAGCCTTAAGACATATCACAAAAAAATTGAATCGACTTTTGATTCAAATTTGCTCCAACATTACAACTCGTCTAAGTGCTATCTTGACTCTACATCGTTCGGTTGATCGGGCTTGACTTCCCTTGCTTGACTTCTCTTGCTTGACTGACTATCTGCCTTCAGTTTTAAAATTTTCGACGTAAATCCCAATTCTTTTCACCTCTCCGAAAAGTTGCGCCTACAAAACCTAAACAAACAATATTACCCCTCGCTCGTCCTTACGAACTACCACAAAACATCTTTATTTTTACCTGATAATGTAACAGAAAGTTGGAGATTTGAATGTAAACTCAGACAAAAACATCTATATTTACTTTTGAGTCGGTAGAAATACACGTATTATATTGATTATTTTAAGCGGAATAATTTTCTACCTGATAATGTACAGAATATAATAATAATACAGAAACAAAACATCTATATTTTTGCCTTGTCTCGTCAAAAAAACTTGAAATATTCTAGTTCGAATATCAAAATTTAAAAGATACATTTAACTTCTCCGTCGAAATATAAAAAAAACTTGCTACAACTTCAGATAAACATCCAGGGGCGTACTACAAAGATTTAAAACCGAATTTATATTATTATATAGACATTAAACATAAAAATTTACAACGCTACATATAATAATAGAATGCTCTTTGAGTATTATGTTTAATTTGTCACAGTCGTGTAGTTGTAGTCGTTCCGTCACGAACAGCGGCCATATTTTATATAACGGAATTCCTAAATCTGTCCCCTTTGAGGTTCTCAAATCCATCCCGGGACGGATTTAGGAATCTTTTCATGTATTTTTCTTTCAATAAATTTTAATTTTCCCTGACTACTTAAATTATTTTTTGTGGATATATAATCACTTTTCGATATGTTTTAATAGTTTTAACCTTAGTCTTAAACAGTAATGCTGTTATTAAACTTAAAGTTCTGTGAAAAACATGTAAATTTTAAGAATTGCGTAAATTGATAACTCCATACAAGGTCTAAATTTTTTCAGATACCACAATGCAAAGCGTGGAATCCTGATGCCATGGTAAGAGCTATCACTGCTGTGAGAGATAAAGAAATGGAATATAAAATAGCTGCTAAGACCTTTGGTGTTCCGAGGGCTACTTTAAAAGATTATGTCAAATCTGACCGCACACCAGAGGAATGTGTGAAATCAAAATTTGGAAGGAAGCCAGTTTTTACAGCTAACCTCAAGAAAAGTTTGCCACTGTCTGGATATGGAGCAGCATTATTATGGACTGACTATTTGTGAAATGAGGCGATTGGCTTACCAGCTAGCCATTTTAAACCAAGTGCCTCATCCTTTCTCGAATGAATCAAAGCCTGCTGGCATAAAGTAGGTTAGACTGTTTTTTAAACGCCATCCAGAGCTTTCTATCAGACCAACACAAAACTTGTCAATGGCTAGAGCTAAAGAATTCACAAAACAAAATGTTGACAAGTATTTCTCTATCCTGAAGCCTGAACTCGAGAAAATAAACTTTGACCCCTCAAGAATATTTAATGTAGACGAAACAGGGATATCTGTAGTCCAGTACAAAGCTACTAGAGTAGCAACCTGTAAGGAGAAAAAGCAAGTACATACACTTTCATCTGCTGAACGTCGATCCACAACCAGAGTCATAACCTGTTTGTCAGCAGCAGGCCAGTATATTCCATCCTTGTTAATATTTCCACTTAAAGGGTGACAGAAAGAATTGCTTGACAGAACTTCTCTGGGGTCGATAGGCGAATGTTCAGATTCAGGTTGGGTAACTGGTCCATTGTTTCTTCTTCTTCTTCAAGTGCCCTGTCCGTTGCGAACGTTGGCTATTAACATGGCAATTTTGATCTTGTTTGCGGCGCTTCTGAATAGTTCGACCGATGTGAGCCCGAACCACTTCCGCAGATTTTGGAGCCACGAGTGTCTTCTCCTGCCTGGCCCTCGCTTTCTGTCTATTTTTCCCTGGACAATCAATTGTAGCAGACGGTACTTATCGTGTCTCAATATGTGGCCTAGATATTCAAGCTTTCTTTGCTTAATTGTATTCACGATTTCTTTCTCCTTTCCGATTCTTTGGAGTACCTCTATGTTGGTGACATGTTCGGTCCAGGATATACGAAGAATGCGTCGGTAAACCCACATTTCGAACGCTTCTAGTTTTCTCGTTAGCGTCTCCGTCAGCGTCCAGGCCTCCACGCCATACATTGTTTCTTAAGTGGTTTAAACACTTCAGTTTCATTGTGAACCCATCAAAAGGGAATCCTGTTGTGCTTATCCTTGATGGTCACTATTCCCACACTAGAAATCTCGAACTTATTGACATTGCAAGTGAGTCAGAAGTATCTATAGTTTGCCTTCCTCCACACACAACAGACAAGCTACAGCCTTTGGATGTATTGTTTGTGTTTCCTTTGGTACTAGATGCTAGATACGCAAAAGCTATAGAACGATGGTTGGCTAGTAACCCAAATAGAGTTGTCAGGAAACTGAAAATATCCAGTCTCTTTTGTGAGACATGCAGCTACTCTTGAAACGGCCGTCAATGGGTTTAGGAAGTGATCCATCCATTTAATTCTGATGTCTTTTATGAGCATGATTTTATTGCTAGACAACTTGAACAGCAAGAGATGCCTGCCAATGGACGGGATAATGACAACCAGAATGTTCTAGTCCCACCTCAATCGGTTAGTCCACGAGACATCCAGAATGTTCCAGTTCTACCTCAAATGGTCAGTCCACGAGACATCCAGAATGTTCCAGTTATCGAACCTTCCACATGTTCTAGAGCCGGTACTTCGTTTTTGGTAACTGGATCTCTTCACAAAACTTCTCTTAAAATCTCTTTACAAAAGAAACAAATGACAGAAGAGAAGAGGCAGTCAAAGGCTAAGAAACGTCTCATCATGAAAGATAAAGAAAATCCTGGCACATCATTGAACAAACGTCCCAAGAAAATAACAACAAAGTGGGATTTAAATTCAAGTGACTCTGAGTACGAAACAGAAGTTGCACTGGTGAGGTGACGAGAAGAAAAATGGATAAGGTGTTCGGAATGCTTCAAGTGGTGCCATGAGATGTGTTCAACTTCAACCAAGGTCAAAAATTTTGTTTGTGGTTTGTGTCTGAAGGTGTAAATAGATGGAACTTATGTATCAAAATGTATAAACATCTTATCTCAGGAACATATGTTTCTATCTCAATAAATTTATTAAAACAGATATTAGTACTCTTTAAATAATGATTTACAAAAAAATCATACATTTTAACTAGGAATTGGTGGGGGACGGAATTGGGATACCATTTAAAAACAATTATTTATTTTTTTATTTATTTATTTTTACTGCAGTAAAATTTTATTTAGTAGAATCATACTAGCAAAATTCTTAGACATAGAGTTAAGTTACTTAAATCCGCTTTTTTCCATTATTTTAACTCTAAATGAAATTTCAGAATTTAAGATTTTGCTTAGGGGGACTTTGCACTTTATCTTTATCATGGCTCTATAACGATCGACTGTAACCGTTAATTGTAACGTTCTAACCAACATCGTTTTTGAAGAAGTACAGACCAATCATTCCACCGATAGATCTATTTTCCTGTCGTCACATTTTAATAATGTTTGTTTCTCTTTTCATTACTTTTTCATAAACTTTGTTTTCTCTTGTCTTGTATGAAATGTTTTTTGCCAAATATAGTTTAATTGTTAAATTTTCAAAGCTTGTGATTGGTATATTAGGACGTTATAATATGTTTTTCTTTCGGGAATCGTTTTGTGCCAGTGGAAGTTCGAGCTACACCTCATTCTCCTCTCTCGCCTTCCCTCTGTCTCTCTGTCTCTGTTTTCCAAGTTCTCGTCCACCTCCCTACCGGCCATTAATACTCCCGATATTGAATGATGTATCATTGCGCTATAAAAAAGCAGGAAATGTGATATGGGAACGGCGTGCATACACTACACAAACTAAATTACTGGATTTTTCGAAATGAAAAATAACAAATAGCCCGGCTTACTCCCTCCACGGCTGATATGACGGCCATAATTCATAAGCGCCCGGCGACCGCGTTCTATACACATTTCGCCGATGGACATTTATTTTCATTTTTATTATCAGGAGATTAAAATTGTTGCAGTACATGGAGTCATTTGAATATTCGGGAGGATTTGCCATCCGGGGAGTCTTTTTTTTATTCTCGGATATCTCCAGGTAAGAGACGTCTCTGGCCACAGGTACTTAGTCATCATGCTTTTCAATTTATTGTGACTACCAGGATACACACATATACATATCATATAACACAATGTTTAGTTTCCCTTATCATTTGGTTAAAAATGCTTTCATACCATGTTTGGAAGAATATTGGCCGAAAGTTTAAAATAAGTTTGCAGCAACTTTGTTTTTTGTACTTATAACATATTTGTTAAATCTTTGTGCTTAATTCAATATTGCTACTACTTAGTAATGATTTTGCCAGTCACCATGCGATAGGGGATCCAATCATTTGCATCTACAATCACTCTACTTAATTGTTTCTGTCTTCCTCATGTTTAAGGTTAAGACGACAACAGAATAATATTTTAATCTGCTGTACAACTTTCATAACAAATAAGTCACTTATGGAGAGTCACTGAACTTTTTGCGTAAAGTCGTCTTATGAATTCTAGTTTGACAATTTATTTGTTGGGAAACCTCGAAAGTACTCATCAAATTCGCAGCCAATTTTTTAGGATCAAGAAAATTTTCAAGAGAATTTTTTACATAATAAACTTCTTGCATGAAAGGGCCGATCTTTTCACCTCCAGATAAATATTGTGCTATCTGACAGACAGCTATCTAAAAAATGGACATTTATTTATAAAATAAAATGTTCCCGTCTTTTTACGTCAAATTATATTGCGGTTACTTATCTGTAAGATAAATATAATATTTATTTCGGAACACACCAATATATAATTAATTAATAAAGAAATACCAATAATGTTTTAATACCTCTTTTGATTATACAATTTGTGGTGGCAGGAATAAATTAAATTTTGTAAAGAAAACTTTAATAATGAATAAAAAAATAATTATTGTTTAATAATTCTTCTCAGTTTTTTCCATAACACTAAAATATTATATAAAGTTAGCTCTAACATCGTCAACTTCAGAAAAATTACATCTTTAGTAATGTCTTTATTTAGCAATGTACCTTTAAAATTGTCTTAATTTTAATCTCTCACTAGGTTATACTCGTAGAATGTTGCTGTAGATTAGAACTGTTGAATCTTTTCAACCTTACAGCCACTTCCACTAGATGAAATAGTATCTAAACTTTCTCCTTTATACATAAAAAGTTATGTTGCATATTTGGTTCTAATATAAAATTCATTATAGAAATTGGATTGTTTAGTGGACTTCTTAAAAATGGCTTTATTTATTAATCGGAATCTTCTTGTAAGGACCCATTTTTAATATCTTCATTTAAACTGCTGATCAAGAATACAGAATTACTTATTCCTACCTGGTGGGCACCTAAAAAAACATATCCAAGAAGTATCGCGAACTTCTCAGAATTTAAAATCAATGTTTCATATATTATATAGAAGATTAATTAAAAGTTTTAAAAATTTCCAACTACACTCTGGATATTTTTTATAGTTACTCTGAGTGTTTTGTATATATAATTAAATGTATTTTATAATTATTAGAAGAATCTGACAACCTATAATCCGTTCACAAATTGTCGAGAGCATGAAATGTGCCTCAAAGTCATAAAACGGTCGTAAAATTTGTCATCATCATAGGCGTTCTTGAGGTGTTTATTCATTAAAATTAATGCGTTTTACATTTATTTTCCTTTCCAAAATGTTATTCAATATTAATAATGTTGTAATACTAATATATTTAGAGAAAACAATTAAAACTTTCACGGCTAATGTTGGTTATTATATTATATTAATAAAAATAAGAATTTAGCCATTAACAATTTTGTAAATAAGAATACCTTATATCTTTGGATATTTCAATACTAATCTTCGCGTTTAATCACTTTACTAGAAAACCTGGAATTCATATCCGAAGGTACTATTCATTGCAAGATAATTAGGATGGAATTCCCCAGATTTTTAATAATATAATGAGTATAAAGATGCCGGTTTTGTCCACGTGCCTCGTCTGTTTAGTTTATATTCGAAATTTAACTTGAAATGGTAAAGTTATTACGAACGAAAGTAATTTTTTTTGTTCAGTACGTTTTTGATCGTATGTAATTTACGGCTCGTCGGTGTTTCCGCGTCTACGGCAGTAATTGGCGTCTCGAATATTTCTTTTGCGAATTATATGCAGTGTGTGAGTGATTTTTTATTCCATATACCTACAAACATATACGTACCTTTCGCTCGTGCTCATTTTGTTGGATTGTTTGTAATGGCTTCATCATCAACATCATCAAGTTTTACACCGGTACTGTTGCGTACAGTCAGTAAGTCTGTCCATTCACCAAGAGAGAAGACTATTGTTCTGAATGTTCACGATGCTCTGGTTTCTCAGAATCCCACACACACTGTTCGTCGATATAGGTTCCTCTCAGAAGGAAAAAACACGGTATAGCTAACCCAAAAACAAACAAACACTTAAAGAGAGGGAAAAAGCCTATTGAAATTGCAGAATTTGCCAAAAATGGTATTCGAAGGAAAATTCATGGATTTTTTTTCAAAAAAGAAATACCAAACCTAAACAAAATTTTAAGAAGTTAGAGACGATCTGGATTTGCCTCATATAGGACGAACTAAATTGTGGCAAGTTTTAAAAGAATTAAATTTCTGGTCGGAGAAATCAGACCGAAAATCACTTTTGATTGACTGGGAGGAGATATATTGGAGAAGAAATTATCTAAGATCCATACGAAAATTCCGGACTGAAGGAAGGCCAATCTTCTACCAAGATGAAACGTGGGTAAACTCAGGTCATACACTAAAAAAAATTGGTCAGATGAAAATATATTAAGCTCCAGGCAAGCCTTTATGGAAGGTTGGTCTACTGGTATCTCCCCATCTTCTGGTAAAGGCAGTGGATTAATTATTTCTCACATTGACAGTGAAAAAAGATTTGTTAAGCATGGTTTTTTTCAATTTCAGTCCAAAAGCACAAAATACTATCACGAGGAGATGACATCTGATGTTTTCGAAGAGTATTTTGAGCAAATGATTAAACACATACCACCAAATTTAATTATAGTATTAAGTAATATAAAGTATTA